TTATTATTTTTTTATTCTCCCTTCCAGATTGCATTTTAATTATTCTTTCACTCTCATCCCAAATAACATGGTACTCTTGGTCTTTTACTTTTTATTCAGATCATATATTGCTTATCATACTATTGTTATTCCAAAGCCCACGCAGCACCTTTCTCTGGTCTTAATCCATTCTGCCATCTTTCTGACCTTTATTACTGTTGTGGTAAACTTTATTTTCTCTCACACTACACCAAGTTTCTATCACTTACTCTCACTATTTCTCCTCCATCTATCCTCGCATAAGTACTCTTCTTTCTTAAGTCACCTCACACTCTTTTTCCCTTCTAATAAGAGTCTTATTTCTTTTCAAAACTTTATAAACAGTGGCAGTTGGGTGAAATATCATGGTTATTGCTGTACTTCTCCAAAGGTACTCCTATTTGTTCACTACTGTTGTACTTTAAATCTCAGAGAATAGTCTCCCCCTGTCTTACTCTATTTTGCCTTCCTCCTGCCCTCTGATCAGTTGAGGGAGGAATTTTGTTTCATTGTTTTCTCTCTCCCCCATTTTTTGTTTCCTTTTCTCCCCCGTCTCAGCCTGCACTTTACTCCTTACTCTTATTAGGTTGCTTTCTCCATCCTCATTTTTCTTTACTGTAGACATCTCATATTCACTTTTCACTTCAGTACAATATTCTTATTTCCATTCTAAAGATATTAAATTTCATTCACCTGTTGTTTCTATCGACCCTGCTGTGGTTTTTCTGCAATTTTATTTCCATTGGCCTGGTACCTTTTCAATTTTACTTCAAAATTCTTCCCTCTTCTTACCCCATTGTTCACATCACCGTTTCATGTTTTACTTACATTGTAATTTTTCTCTCTGCCTTTCTTTGCCAGGGTTCTATCCCAACTCTTATCAATTCTCATTCCTCTTACAACACAACATTTTCGACTCTTTTAGACATCTCATATTCCCTTAGTCATACCATATAATATCCGCAATCCCTCTTCACCTTTATAAATCTTAGTTCTACTGTGGTTGAGACTACTGATGTAGTAGAGGGGTTCTGTCTGCTGGCAAAAGTTTGGTGGTCTGGTAATACTGCTTTGTTAACCAACACCTCTAAAACAGTATACAAGACAAGGTGGACATGTGAACACCAGGAAACCAGCTGGAGGGAAGAACCCACCAACAGGTAAACCCAAGTACAACAAGAGAGACCACATGAATGGAAGAAAGGGCAACCATAGATCATCCAGATAAGAAGTTAAAAGAGACTGCAACACTGAGTCTCAGAACCACTACCACAGAAGTTCGCCCTGTGAAGACAGCTGGCAAAGCACAACATCAGGAATCGCAGAATCAAACAAAAAGAGTCACCTAAAATGGGCAGACAAAGAAACAACCGCAGCCAGGAAGAATGCAAGACTCCCCAATAAAAGAGGTAAATGAAATGGAGACAAGCAAGCTATCAGATATAGAATTCAAAAGAATGATTGTAAAGATGCTCAAGGAACTCACTCACAGCTACAAGGAACTGAGTGTGAACTACAACAGTATGAAAAGGAAAAGAACCTATATACAAGAACCAGGAGGAAATGAAGAATACAATATCTGAAATAAAGAAATACACTAGAAGGAATTATAAGCAGGCTGAATGAAGCAGAGGACCAAATTAGTGAGCTGGAAGGCAAGGTAGAAAGAAATATCCAGGTAGGACAGCTACACGAAAAACAACTAAAAAAAAATTATGCAGATAGCTTAAGCAAACTTCCAGACAACATGAAACACAATAGTATTCGCATGATAGGATTACCAGAAGAAGAAAAGGGAGAGAAACACTGATTGAAAAAAATAATAACAGAAAACCTCCCTAACCAGAAGAGAAGAGCCATGCAAAGTTCAGGAAGCACAGACAGACCCAATCAAGATGATCCCAAAGAGGACTACTACAACACACATCAAAATTAAAATGCCAAATTTTAAAGACAAAGAGAAAATCTTAAAGAGAGCAAGGGAAGAATAAGAAGTAACATTATTCCCTTGGAGAACTGAGAGGGAGCTCCAATAAAGCGAGGAGCCAATTACTCAACAGAAATACCACCAGTCAGAAGGGAATGGTAAGAAATATTCCAAGTAATGAAAAATTAAGGACTTCAATCAAGACTGCTCTACCCATCAAGGCTCTCCATTAAAATAGTAGACGAGAGAACCAAGATGGCAGAGGAGTGAGTGGAAGTCACACAGACCTCCTCCCAGGACCAACCTAGAATTACAACTAAATTGGGGAGAAATCACTTGGAACAAACAACTAAACAATAGTGAGAGAGGAGCCCTGTAACCTCGGAGACAGAAGAATCAGCTATAGAGCAATCTAACTGGTAAGGAGTGTGATACAGACCTGAGAAGGCAGGCAGAGCACCCACGGGTGGCAGCACCAGAAGGATATTGAAACAGCCAGTTGGATCCCCACAGAGAAGAGCGGGGTCTAAACCAAAAGTGGGGATCTCTAGCCCACAGCAACAGAGCCCAAAATGTACACAGAAAACAGCCAGCTGCGAAAAGTGGCAGGGTTGCTCTCTGCCAGAGAAAGGCAGCTGGAGACACAAAGAGCCTTCTATAGGGCCAACGCAAAATTTTTATTTGCAGTGGTTTACCCTGGTATCCAGAAATGTTGGGGCAGAGTGGGCTAGAGAAACCTGAGCAGAGTTTGGGGAAGGAGGCTTTGGGTAGAGAACTGAAAGAGGAGCTGGCGGGATCTTGGTGCTGACTCATCATCCATGCAGCAGTTGCTATCAGGATCAGGCAGAGACCACACCCCCTGAGTGACACCAGCATCAGAGGACCCAATAGCCCTGCCCCAAGGTGGGATTCCACCCCCCACCCCGCCCCCGTGCTGTCTAAGCTGCCTGCTGAGTGCAGAGTGGCAGCCACAGAGAGTAGATGCCTGGCTAAAGGGGATGCAGAGAGGTCTGGCAACATTTGAGGAGAGACCGGGGACAGCAGCTTTGGGGAGGGGACAGCAGCTTTGGGGAGAGAATGGAGAGAGTAGCTGGTGGAATCCCAGTGCGGACTCCACCCCCATACAGCAGCAGTGTGAGAGGACCCAATAACTCCGACCCCAGGAGGGACTCCACCCCACCCTGAGCTGTCAAAGGTGGCCTGCAGAGTGCAGAGTGAATAGATTAATAGCTGAAGGGGACAGCCACAGACAGTAGATTCCTGGAAGTCTCAAACAGATTTTTCTAAGGTCAGAAAGGGTCAACATCTGACATCATCAGAGGCAGATATAGAAAGTAAAAACAGTGGTCTCCAACTATGGAGTAGGAGGTTAACCTCCTAACACCACAAAGTTAGGAGGTTAAGACAGATCAACTTAAGAATCAGAAGCAAAGGAGATGAGTCTCACAAATAATAGGAAGACAAAGAAATACCCCTCACTCAAAGGGAAAGGAGGAATCCCCAGAAAGAGAACTAAATGAAATAGAGGCAAGTAAACTATCACATATTGAGTTCCAAACAACTGTTCTAACTTTTGCTTTCCATGACTTGGAATATTTCTTGCCTTTTCCTTCTGGCTTGCAGTGTTTCTGTTGAGAAGTCAGCTGCTAGCCATATTGGGGTTCCCTTATATGTTACTACCTGTTTCTCCCTCGCTTGCTCTAGGATTGTTTGTCTTTGATATTTGCCATTTTACTGATGATGTGTCTTAGAATGGGCCTCACTGGGTTCCTCTTGAATGCGACCCTCTGTGCTTCCTGGACCTGTGTGACTTTTTCTCTTTCAGAGTTGCCAATACTTGATATTACCAATATTTTTCAGTACATATTAATCTGATTGTGACGCTTATGTTATTTTAATTGTTCCTTTACTATTTGTTGAAACTAAACCTCTTTTAGTATATTTCTTGCCTATTTCTATTATTTAAAAAAAAGCTTTAAATGACTTTTTGGTTTTCTTTATCCATTTATTGTAAAGATTTGTACAACTTTTTTCCCTTAAAAAAATAACAAAAAAACCTATTACCCATGTTTTAGATGTGTTGCAAATACTTTTCTATTCTATTCCTTGTCCTTTAACTTTTTTAAACATATATTACTATATAGTTAAATGTTTAATATAGTCATATTGTCAATATTTATAACTTCTGGGCTTGAATATTTTACTTCAGGTCATGAAAAATATTAGTTCTATTTTCTTCTAAAACTCCTTAGATTCTACATATAGACTTTTAACTCACCTGAATATTTCTGGTATAATGTGTGAAACAGGGCTCTATATTTGTTTTATTTCAAGTAATAGAGGTCCGTACACCTTATTTGTTGAATAAGCCTTATTTTACCCATTGATTTGAAATATCAACTTAATCATATATTATATTGTTAGATATATACGTTTGTCTCAAGAATGCTCATTATATTTCATTGATCTACTTGATTATTTCTGTGCTGTCATGTTGGTTTAATTGCTGAGACTTTATAATGGTTTTAAATTTTTTAAATATTTTATAATTAACTTTGACATTTAAAAAATAAATAAAATCAATCTGCATTTAAGAAAGAGAGAGATGGAATTCCTACCTTTTGTGACAACATGGATGGAACTGGAGGTAATTAAACTAAGTGAAATAAGCTAGTTGATAAAAGACAAATACCACATGATTTCACCTATAAGTGGACTCTATTCAACAAAATAAGCAAATGAACGAAATAAACCACAGGCATGGAAACATGGAGCAGACTGAAAGTGATCAGAGGGTATGGGGAAGGAGGAGAATGATGGAAAGAAGGAGAAGGGACTAGACAAAGAACATGTATGAATGTCCCATGGACATGGACAACGGAGTGGGAATTGAGTGTGAAGCGGGGGTTGGGGATGGGATGGATGGAGGGCAGTAAAGGGGTAAAAATTGAGACAACTGTAATAGAATAAACATGACGTACAAATAAATAAATAAATAAATAAATAAAATAGTTTGAAATAAATTAGTTAATTTTAAGAAATACTACTAGTTTACCTGTTTGGGCAGTCGGAACAAGGAGTTCTTATAGAAAATGTCCTTAGCCTGGGTCCATGTACCATCAATGATGATGATTGTAGAAGGATAAATAGGAGACTCTAATATAAAGTCTTCCAAATTAGCAGCTTCAGCCCCTGGATATAATATTAATGTACCAGACTTCCGACAAACCGTTGCAAGTTCAGGATCTCTAAAATATTTTTTTAAAAGAAATCTTTATTATCTTGTAGGTTAACAAATGTTTTACTATTCTCATTAAACTTAATTCAAAAATGCAGATAAAAAATGCATATCAAAGAATTTGGGGACTGGAAATGTAATAATAAATGATATAGCCTCTGTCCACAGGAAACAAAATAAGCTTGAGGGGAAAGGAGACAAGTTAAAAAATCAATTAAAGACAATAAACAGCATCTTCTTCAAACCAGTAAAAGGCATCTACAAAATTCTCATGCCAATATCATATTTAACAATGCTCTTTGAGAGCTGGGATCAAGGTAAAGATGTCTTTCACCACTCCTAATATACATTAGATTGAGTCTCCATTATTGTAATAAGGTAAGAAAAAAAAAATAATGAAAGTCATAAAGATCTCTGAAAGAAGTAAAAATGACCCTATTTGCATATGATAATGCTACTTACACAGAAAGACCTAGAGAATCTACAAAACAATTTCTACAACTAAAAAATGAATTTAGAAAGTCACTGGAAATGGGGTTGATATGTAAAACCCAATTTTTTTTTTTACATAATAGAAGCAAAAAATTGAAAGTATTTTTAATTTCCACTTATAAAGAATACCAAAAGTAATATGTCTCATAATCATTCCCCTATGGTTATATCATATATCCTAAGAAAAGCTTAAATTATAATTTAAGCCAATTATATTAAGTCAATAATCTTAATGAGCTTTAGTTTAAAAATCCATCAGTGCATAATAATTTACTAAGTAAGCACTATATCAGGGACCATGGGAAAAAATTGAACTAGTTAATATAATGGACTCAAAATAGGATGAGTTATTTGGAAGTGTCAAACTTCTCATCCCCAAGCACATTCATGGAGGGGTTAGGTAGCCAAATAGTTTCCAGTTTTCCACCATAGACGCTCATCACTTTTGCAATAAAATAACCTAGAACCAAGTTGGCAGATTATGTGGAAACTTGTCCCACCTATCCCACCCAAGAGTTATAGAGAAACTATCATTATAAGGAGTCTCTATGTGAAAGAAGGGTCACAGTGTAAATGATGTGGCTGCTCCCCATGTGATAAGCTCTGAATCTCATTTATATTCTCAATAAAATAGCAAAATTCCCAATAGCAGCATCTGTGGGCAAGGCAGTGCAAAATCTACAACAGAAAATTCTGTTTAAGAAAAGTGTACCTAATCAACAATTTCGGAGAACAAAAGAAAATGATTAAAGTTATAACATGTTGTTATTTTCAAAACATAAAGCTAAATTATAAAAGAAACTGAAATAACACAGCAAGGAAAAAACTCAGTCAATTTCCTAGGCTTCCTGCTAGTACAAGTCTTACTTCGCATTTTCTTAAGTGAACTGAAAAAACGAATCTCCATATTTTCAAGAGAAATTAAATTTTGCATCTAAAAATATATTTAATTATGTTGACAGGATCAAAGTAATTTGTAAAGGCTTTATGAATGAACAAAAAGCAACAAAGATGATTCAAAGGTATAAAAACACTTGTAGAAAAAATTTAAATATATACATACTTGTATATATTTATGATAATGGGTTATGTAATAGAATATTAAATAAGATCCAAGAACACTATAGATCTGTCAGTGAAGATATCTCTTAATGGCTGGGGCATATAAAAATATTGGGCTTCATCAAAAGGAATATTTTAAATATGACAGAAGGTGTTTTATCCTTAAAAATATATATATGATGTGCCTATAATTAGAATACCTAATATAGTACTAGTCACTGTATCTTACAAAAGCTTTAATGGACTAGAAGTAGATATCTGTTTACTTACATAAATGTATATCATATATAACATAAAAAAAGAAACTAAACTAAAACTAATAAAGTACCCTACCATCTTGAACAAAAATGAAATAAACAGGAAATATACATGTCTTTTAGGCTCAACATATACTAGTATGAAATTCAGATACTGCCAACATTCCTTTGTTTATTCCACTTTGGTCTGTTTTGGGAAGATGTTTTTTATGTTTTGCTTTGTGTTGTATTACTTTGAGAGGAAAGGCAGAACATAAATTTTTTGACAACTTCCAATGTGGCATGTTCTAGGTCTAAAGGATAGGTTTTTAAAAATCATTTTTAAAGATCTAAGTGGAAAAAAGTATTTTAAATTACCTTTCTTCACTGAAGCGACGACCAATCTTGACTTTACACTTGTCCTGCGGGAGGCATGCTTCTAGTAAAGGAACTGTCCGCAACACTTTGCTTTCCTTTAATTAAAAAATCAATTAAAATGTAGATTTTTGTTCAGAAAAACATACTTTAAAAACTTTTATGATAAACATTTGATTCATAACATTATACAGAATTTTCACAAATCTTTCACAGACCACAGTTTCATTAAAAAAAAAATTAAAACCTATAGGTTCATCCTGACCAGTGTGGCTTACTTGGTTGGGTGTCATCCCACAAAACAAAAAGCTGTTGGTTCAATTCCAGGTCAGGGCACATGTCTGGGTTGTGGGCTTAGTCACAGTCAGGGTGCATCCAAAAGGCAACAGATTGATGTTTCTCTCTCACATCAGTGTTTCTCTCCCTTTCTCCCTCCCTTCACCTCTCTCTAAAAATAAATAAATAAAATCTGAAAAAAAAAAACAAAAACAAAAACAAAAAAAACAACAACAACTACAGTTTCTCTGATATACCAGTAGTAAATATACTACTAATGTACATTTTTATTCCACTTGGATATGTTTAGAAGTTGACTGATCAAAACAAGATAATATTAAATCATAGTTAAAATAATGGAAATGTAAATTTGTGCTTAACTAAAGTGAACCATTTATTCTGCAAAACTTTATTCTAATAGTAATTACATTTTCTACTATATATATCAACTTGAAGATAACTGCCTAGATCTTTATGCCCAGAAAACAAGGAAGTGTTCAAAAATACAGTGGGGCAAAAACACAATGGCACACAGAAGCCAATCTTAAAGAGCTCCCAATGGCCACATTGGAACAACCTGAGCAACAAAGTAAGTAGTACTGTATTTAAATTATAACCCAAGGTATAGAATAAATATAAAGTCCTGACTGATATAAATAAATAAATGAGAGAAAAGAGACAAATCTTTCTTACAAAAGATTTCCAAGGAATGGCAAATGTTACTTCCTTTAGTTTAGGAGTATCACTTACTTAGCAAATTAATACACAGAACAGTAATGTTACATATGAGTTTGCTAAAATAGTTTAAAATAAATAAATTTATAATTAAATTATTTGTTTATAACAGAAAGAAAACGTATTATATATCACATCCTCCTTCCCCCACTGGAGCTGTGCTGGGCCTGCAGGTCTATGGTAGGTCCTGGATGCAGGTCTCTTCCACAGGATGTAGTTTGTTAAAGTTGTCAAAAATAAGGCCTACTTCAAGAAGCACCAAGTAAAATTTACAAGATAATAAGAGAGGAAAACTGATTTTTATGCCTAGAAACTCTTGATAATTGGGATAAAAGTAAGTACAACACACACAAATACAGGATGATAGTTCATGTTGTAATCAGAGACATCATTTGTCAGTTTTCTTATGCCCAATATAGTAGGAGATATGATAGTTTGTGAAGATTACACTCATGAATTCCCAAAGTATGGTATGAAGAATGGCCAGACAAATAATGTTCCCACACATTGTACTGGCCTGCTGCAGGTCTGCAGGCTCCTCAATAGCTTGGGCATGGACAGGATCTATGAAGCCCAAGTGGAGGTGACTGAGATGAATACAATGTGGAAAGCACTGATGGTGTTTCCACATTGCCTGCACCTGCTATTTGGGTGTACAGCTTGCCAGAACTAGGGCTGGAAATAAAGTTTTGGGGGTCCCTGAATGGGCTATCGATGGAGACTTGTCTGTCCTTCACAGTACCAAATGATTCCCTGGTTATGATTCAGAAAACAAGAAATTCAATGCAGAAATACATTGGAAGTACACTATGAGTCAAAATATTGAAAATTCTATGCATTACTTAATGGAAGAAGATGAAAATGCTTGTAAGAAACAATTCTCTCAGTACATAAAGAACAATGTAACTTCAGACATAATGGAGGAGATGTATAAAAAAGCTCATTCTGCTATACAAGAGAATCCAGTCTATGAGAAGAAGTCTAAGAAAGAAGTTAAAAATAAGAGACAGAACCATCTCAAAATGTCTCTTGCCCAGAAGAAAGATCAGATAGCTCAGAAAAGGTAAACTTCTTGGAGCTCAGGAACAGGCTGCTGAGAGCTAATAAACCAAACCACAATTTTCTACAAAGATTTTTCAGATAAAGACAATAATAAATTAACTGACTAAGCAGCAAAAAACAAAACTAAAAAAAAAGTATTCAACCACAAACACACATATACATACACAAATATGTACCTTTTAGGGACATTTTTGTGTGTATTTCTTTTGCTCCTAGATTCCTGGAGTGTTAAAATAACATGTAAAAAATAAATTTAAAGATGCTGAGAGTAAATTCATCTACCTAATAAAAAGTTGGAAAAGAAAATAGGAGAGTAAGAATTTGCTGGGGTTAAAATAAAAAGAACATGTAGCATGCTGGAGTTTTAAGGAAGCACGAAAACAACAATTTGGAGCAGCTAATATATAAATGAAACTGGGAGAAGATAGGTGAGATGGAGCATTTGAGAATATTTTACAGTGTCTCATACTGTTTTCTTCCCTACAGACCACCACTAGAAGACTTTGACACATACTTAAATCACTCTCCAAACTTTTATCAAATTAACACATCTACATATGTCAAGTTAAATAGTGCCAAAAAATTTATAATGTTCCTTGATACACTCCCCATACCACTTTCCAAGGCAACCACTTTTAACTCTTTTAGTTATTTCTTCTGGTGGTTATCTCCATATTTCTAAATAATATGTGTGTTTTGCTATTTCTTGCTTTATAAATTTTTAATTTATCAATTATCTACAAACTATCATTTATTATCATAACAGCTAGCTCTAATGTATATAATTCAAAGTGCATTTTATATGTGTGTGTATATATGTATGTCTATATATAATTTACTGTTCACAATAAACCAGTAAAGAAGTGTATCTCTTAACATGTCCATTTTACTAATGACAAAACTAAAGAAATAGAGGTTAATTAACTTGCCCAGGGTTACAGAGTTTATAGAGTCATTAAGGACTTAAATTCAAGCAATCTGGCTCCTGCGCCCTTACTCTTAACTACTGTTCTTTTTAACTACGGCCTCTCATAATACCAATACAATAAATGAGGATTCAGCTTTCTGACATGACTTCTTATGCTCACGTCTTCTGATATTTTTAATTAAATCAATAAACAGTATTTACATCATTATGGCTCCATATACATTGTTCACAAAAGACCAATATATATACTGAGTATGTATATTTTACTCTTTGAAATGCTCCATCATATCACCTCCATATCACCCATGCCACTAAGTCTCCTTTTCCCAAAGTCACCTTCTGGAGCTTATCCAAATGGTTTTCACCTTTTAGAGGGAGTCATCAAACTGGTATATTTTTTTACTGAAAATAGTGTGCTGAGATTAGGCACAAGGCAGACCATTGTTACTGAAATAGATTAAGATTGTAAAAGTCCTTGGGTGATAAGGAAAACCATACAGATGTACTTATATATGGAGAAAATACATTTGGAGCACACAATTATGGACCAATTACCTAACCTGAGAATTAATGAAGGAAAGAAGGGAGAAGGGGAGAAAAGGGAGAGAGGAAGGGAAGGAGGAAGGATGGAATTGAAAACATTAGAGCTGCCACAAATGAATGAAAACACTTACGTTTTAAAAGCCATCTTAGGTCTGGAACTACATAATAATAAAAAGACACCATACTATGTATACTGCAAAACTGTAATAGCATTCACCATCTAAAGTTAAGCTTTACCAAACACTGTAACAGCCAGTAAGCTATCATTTTTTGTAAATTTGACCTGTATAGTGTTGTAAATTTAAATGCAACAAAATAATGCTATTGACCAAACTGTCACAATTCTGACCAAAATATGTTGTTGTTAACACTGAAAAACATGCTGCCCAGTGAATGGAATATTTAACATTTTGCAATTAAAGAGTGTTTCATAATTTGGAAAAGGAAAAAGATGGATCAATATCTTTTACATCTTTGTTAAACTCTCCAAGTGGAATAGACTTCAGATTTTTTTTTAAATTAGTCCTCTGCCCTGGCAGGTGTGGCTCAGATGGTTGGAGCACTTTCTGATAATCGAAAGATTGCAGGTTTAATTCTCAGTCAGGCACATACATAGGTTGCTGGTTCAATCCCCAGTCTGGGTGCAGGCATGTGTGACCCCCGAGTCTGGACCATACAATCCCCGGTCCAGGTATGTATAGGAAGCAACTGATCGATGGTTCTCTCTCACATGGATGCTTTTCTCTCTCCTTTCCTCTTTCCCTAAAAACAATGATAAAAAATTTCCTCAGGGAGGTTTAAAAGAAAAATTAGTCCTTCAAAAGCCTGGTTCAGTCTGATGTCCTGAGCTCCTAAATGCTAAAATAGTTTACTCTGAACCCATTTGGTACCATGCAATGACTAGTTTTTTGTTTTAATATAATTTTTGGCTGTCTATGACCTCCTTCCCTCCCCTCTTCATTACTGCAGTTAATTAAGAGTTACAAACACATATATACACATACACTTGCTAATATAGGACAGTATTAATTAAAAATTCTTTATATATAACATATATACTGTAAAATATACATATTTGTTCTATTCATTAAAAAACAAAAAATTTATTTATACATTCATTTTGTAACACTAAAATGCAGAGGGAGGAGTACGTAAAAGCTGCCCTCGCCTCCTCTCACAACCACATCAAAATTACAACTAAACTACAACACAACCATCATCAAGAACTGCCGGACATCTAGCTCAACAGAAGTCCAATTATACTAAAAAAGCCATGTTGAGACTGACAGAACTGGTCCCGTACTCATGTGTGGTGGTTAAAAATCAGCTGCAGAGGTCCCCCCACTGAGGAGTGAGGGGTCTCAGCCCCGTATCAGTCCAAGCCCCAGCTCAGGGTTCCAATGCTGGGAAGAGAAGTCCCCATAACTTCTGGCTGTGAAAACCAACAGATTGTGGCTGAGTAAGATGGAGGGCTGCTGCAGTCCCAGATGTTCCTATTAAAGGGCCCTAGTGTTACCAAACAAAAGGACCCGTGGCGGGGATGCCCAGATGCTA